GGGAATACCGCTGACGTGGTATCCCCAGCCAAACACAGCATGCCATATCATCAAAAATTTTTTTATCTCATTAGTCATGTCAGCTCATTTAACAGTAAAAATAATGACGTGGCACGTTGTGATTGGCCGAGGATACCACGTCAGCGGTATCGCCGGGATACAACAGAATTTTTCGTGGCACAGGGGTGAAGAAAGGGACTTAGTTGTTGTTTTGTCAGATTTAATTAGGTTTGACGTTTGTTTAGGCTTCTCAACATGGGTGGGGGCGCTCCCCTAGGTGATTTAGTTGTATCATTTTTTTTTTTTTTAACGTTAGGAGTGAGATTCAATCCTAACACTTTCAAATTGGCATGAGAATATTCTTAGTTGTATCATTTAAAAAGTACTAGGCTAGCTGTGAGAGAGGCAACCAGTTATAGAACCCTGCAAAATGTTTATGGTCACCAAAAATTTTTTTCTACAGCCTGCAAATATAAGTGTATGGTATACCCAACATAATTTTACTAGGTAATCATCATCTAGAAAAACTTAATAAGATAAAAGAAAAGTAAAAAAATTCTTATATGTAACAAATATCTAAATATAAAATAATATAAATTATACCATACATATACATTATATATAATAAAATTTCTAACTACTTTAATTAATTAGAAACTCAATATCTACCCTCGTAACATTTCTCCTTCTTTCTCCCATTTCTAATGTTTTCCTATCTTTTTCTAAAATTTGACGTGTAAACTATAAATTTCAAAGAAATTTTATTATCACTTTACTCAAATTTTGAATTTACAGCTAATTAACTTATTGTCTTGAGCATCTATCCTCAATATATTTCCTCTTTTTGGGAGTTTTTTTTTTTAGTAAATAAAGGGAAAAGCTAACCTTTCTTTAAAAAAGAAAAAGAGAACTTTCAACTCATAAAGTAATCTTCGTTTACCTCATATGATAATCTATGTAAACTTTGAATTTTTAACTAGTACTATTGTATATTATGTAAAAATAAAATAATTTTAAAATTATGAGCTTGTGAATAAATTCCAATATATACACATATATGTTGGACTTCTTTTAAACCTTAAAGATTAACTAATTAGGTTTATGAATTTTGACACACACATATATATATTATTACACTCACTTATGAACCCCAATACTGTCTCCATTTTTCCACTCAAGCATGGCTTGAGTGTTTCCTAAAGGAGCCTAACTATCTTCTAAACTAGTGTATATCCTCATTCAACATTTAGTGGGTGAGGAATGTTTTTTGTTAAATTGTCTTCTCTCCCCTAAAATTGGTATAGCAATTGGGAGTGTCCAATAGCTTAAGATGCTCATGGTGGCATTCTTCCTACTTTTGCAGTCTTGTTTCTCTACAACAATTACATGATAATTTACAGGTATAGATAGGTTCCTAAACTAAGTTGTTTATATCCATCATAGGAATAATTTTCGGTTGTATTTAGTGATGTAGGTGACATTCTCTTGACTTTAGGTGCCTAAATTAAAGATTTATCTCTAATCCCTTTTTTATATTTAATATGATATGTATTTCCTATAAAAACTATAGACCAACATGTAAGGGCCTTCAAATGCTTAAAATCATGTATGGGCTTGCACTTGCAAGAAGTGGTCACTGAAATATCAACTTCAATTCCATTGAAATGGTATAGACTAAACAAAAGTTGCATTACAAGCATAATATTTTTTCATAAGAACATTATACAGTTTAGATTGTATTAGACTATACAAATTCACCATTGAATTGGAGATAGGACCCTTGATATTGATAACTGTCTCACATCCAACAATTTCTATTTTTGCTGTTCATTACAATCTAGATTGCAACTTATAATTTTTTACCCCTTATTTGGTTTGAAGGAAAAAGGGGGAAGACCCTCCCCTCTTATGCTAATTTTAGTCCTTAAATTTTTAATTTTGAATATTTTTAGTTCTTAAACTATAAAAATACATTTTTTTAGTTCTATTGTAAGTTAATCTATTAAATTTGTATATAAATATATATATATATATATATATGCAAATTTTTAGACCTAATAGACTAATTGCCAAAATGATAAAAAAAAAAATATGTATTTTTCAAAATTTAAAGACAAAAAAAAAAAGAACTAAATTTGATATTTAATCTTTTTTATTAACTAATAAAGAAATTTTTTCCTAACCTTTCCCTTTCTCTCCCCTTATACCAACAAGTCATTACGGAAAAGTTGTAGTTAGTGTTTACAATGCATATAAAAAATCACGTTCACACTTTATCCAATTTAGCCTTAAACAATGTCAACTGGGTGATTACCTTACTAGGCCTGGCCCACAACATCCTCAAAGCTGAAAAACAGTGTAAGATCCAGAGCAACCCACAATTGACTGAAGACGACTGAATTGGAAACATTGCGAAAGCCCCAACTCAGATATTTCTACTTCCTATCCATCTCAAGCAGATATTTTCACCTCAAATTCCAATATAAACATACCCATGTACACCACAGAGCCTAAAATTCCCCAGAAATGAATGGAGCAGGGGAACAGGAAAGCTTGACAGATTGGGAGGAAATCCAGTCTCCATTCCTCAAATTACAGTCAACAGAACCGGACAGGATTGTCTGCACATCAAACGACGACTTGTCTGTCTTTCCTCCAAACCACCACGAAGGCTTACAGACACCGTCACAGGATGTTCATGTCCCAATATTCAACCAAGAGGAGCCAACTCCATTGGTGCCTTCTCCTGATGAGGAAGCAGATCGGAAGCCTGGGAAAGCAGACAACGGAATCGGGAAGGTTCTGAGCTATGGGATTTCAAGGGCTGTTGCTAGAATTAGGTACTATGTTGTGAGCAGAGGATGGGGTTGTCTGTTGACATTTCGGTCGGTGGCAGGAGTTGTAGCCGCCATTTTGCTGTCTTTAGCGTATGAAAAGGTGCGGAGGTGGCGTGGAACAGCCAGGGAAGAGAGGCAGCATAAATTGTTCCTTCTAATTAAAGAGAAAGACCAGGTTCGACTTCATATGAACTGCACAATTCAGTAGTTTTTATTTATTCTATTAAATTTATTCTATCACATTAAACATTAGTTCTATTATTTCTTTTCTCAAAATAAATGTTTTTTTTTATTTTTTTAAATTAAATATTTAGAGGTAATTTGTATAATTTATTATATTATATTTTTAAAAAATAAAAAATAAAAAAGTGATAAGACGATTCATTAATTAAAAGAAACAAATAATAATAAAATTAAAATTAAAGTATTTATTTATTTTTAAAAAAATAAAAGACAATGATTAATTTAAAATAAATTAAAAATTAAAAATTAAAAATTTACAATTATTTTAATATATAAAGTATTTTTTTAATTTTACTTAGTAACTTTTGATGTCTTCTGCTTAGATGCCTGCCGATAAGAAATAGTTGTGTTTTTCCCAAATCATCCAACATGAAAGTAAGAGCATTTATTATTGGAACCTCTTTAAAAAAACCATCATTTAACACGATTGATGGTAAGGTCTAGATTAAAGAGTAATTAAGGGTGTATTTGTGTTTGATTGATTTAATTAGTTTTTTTTTTTTGTTCTAAATAACTTATGAATTTTTTTGTCTCTTTAAAATGTAAGTTAAAAGTGTAATTAATATATTTTTTTATAATTATTTTTTTATTAAAATTATAAATTTTAATTTTAATTTAATCAATTAACTATTTAAAATAATTTACATATTAGGGATGTTAGTTTTAATTGATATTAATTGTTTTATTAATTATCACTTAACAATTACAATTATCAATTATTACTAACAATCAAATCAAACAACACCTAAACCTTTTTTGCTTGATTTTTCCCTAGTCCTTGTAATCTATCTATTTAGACTAACTTTACAAGCTCTCTTCAAAAGGTGTAATGCGTAACTCTTTTTTTCATTATAATTATTAAACATAAATGATATTTGTGACAAGAGTAATGACTGTTTTTAGTTAAACTATAAAAATTAAAAAAAAAAAAAGAAGGTAAAACGAAGAAAACTATCTTTAAAAAAAAACTAAGAATGTCTGTTCTTGTTTGCTCTGCACTGAATTGGTGAGTGATTAAGGAATAACTACTTCAACTCCCTTTAAGAAATATGCATCTCTTTCTTTTTTTTTTTTTTTTTTTTTTTTTTTTTCTTTGAGCTGTAGAGAAGTAATTTTGTTAAAGAGGTATGCCCGCCCATATACATTTCCCATAAACTATCTAAACGTAAGACATCACCGAGGCAACCCACCAACGAACAAGGCCTTCATTTCTCTGGCATTTTCAGTTCCGCCTTTTCTCTGATCATCTTGCATTCCTTCTCAAAAACGCAGCTTTGATGCTTAAAACTGGTTGCTGCACCCAGTCTAAAATGGAAAAGGCGCCATTCCACTCCTCCCCTGCCTCTAATCCACTAACAAGAACAAGTTTGGAGAAAATTAAAAAAAAAAAAAATACTAATCTATTCCCTTTTTTTCTCTAATATAAAAAGAAAATTTAACTCAAAAAAATCTAAGAAGAAAATTATTAATCTTAATTAAGGAGAATATATAGTAGTTCCTAATTTTTTAAGTACTCCCTCTGTCTCACTTTATGAATTAATATTTATTAAGAAATTTATTTATTACAATAATTGAGACTTATCTCTATATTTTAATCATTAATTACAATTAAATCAAAAAACCTCTAACTCATTTTTATTTCTTTTGAGATGTATGGTTAAAGATAAAATTGAAATACTAACATTTAATATTATACTAACATTTAATATTTTATTACTCTGTTTCATTTTGTTAATTCTTTTAGAAAGTTGTTTTTGTCTCACATTATTTAGGTTCTCACATTTCAAAGCTTCGTTAATTTTTTTTTTTTTTTCTAAATCTACCCTCTAATAAATTTTTGGTAGTAATAAAGAGATTCTATTTTTAAAAAGTTTGTCTAAAGGTACAAGTTAAGAAAATATTAATTGCTTTTTTTTTAAAAATTAATTTATATAGAAAAAATAAAAGCTAACTTTAAATTTATTAATTATTCAATTAAAATAATTCAAGTAGTATTAGTATTAAGAATAATATCTTACTTTTACATTTTTTAATAAAAATGTATTATAAAATAATACATTTAATATACTTTAAAGTATAGATTAAATAAATCCTTTAAAAAATAACAAAAAAGATAAATGAGTAAACTTAATACTAATTATTCTTACGAGGAAGGCTATTAAATAAGTTTCTTAATTTGTGTGAAAGATCTAAAACAACTAATAAAATGAAACAGATAGGCTAAAATAGAAAGTAACAAAATTAAATGATATACTCCTATTTAGAAAATATGATAATTAAATGAAACTAGGAGTATATAATTTTTTTTAATTTTATTTTTATAATTTAATTAAGGAATCACCATTACTCCAACCAAGAGAAACTAGAAAAGTTAGTAATTTAAACAAAACTACCACATAGAAGTTACTTTCCAACAAAAATTTTACAATAACTTCAGAAGAAATTAACCTCTAAACTCTCAGAAATAGAGTAATGATTGAGGGGACGAAAACGGAGGACGAAATGAAAGACGACAGGTGATGCAAAGAGGTCAAATTAGTAATTGCACCATATGCATGAATCTTCCATCACCTGTCGTCCCCCTTTTCGTCCTCCGTTTTCATCTCCTCCATCATTAGGGAATATGTTCTACTTAGAAGTTGGAAGACAAATAAGGAATAAGATGGATTAATTAATAATATTCTACTACTTCAAGTCTCAATTCCTTGAATAGGATGCTCTTAAATTCGTTGTCATTCCATATATATCACCGTCACTGCTGTCTCGAAGTGTAATTGTGACTTAATTAGGGACTTTTTCTTTGCAATATTTTAGGAGTCATGCATTTTTCTGAGTGGATCTGAATTCTATTTTTTCAGAAGATCAATCAGCTGTTGCTTCAAATTTCCCAGTTGAATCAGTTACTATACTCACGGCGTCGGGTTCCGGTGTTTCGAACCGGTTAATTGTTAGACATGAAGGTGCTATGTTCTACTATACATGAAAGATATAAATAGATTATATATTGAACTTGGATATATACCTGTACAACAAATAAAATAAAATGCACGTTTCTCCTAGATCTTCATTTCCAGTATTCTGTTTTCTTGTGCTTGTAAATGTTAATTTATAATGATTTCTTTCTTCAATGAAAATTGAAGTAAAAAGAAAGGCATGGTTGTGGCCACACATTAAAATGTTAGGATCATATAATTTTCTAAATATTGTTAATTAAAAGATTAATTTTATTTTGTTTAATTGTTAAAAGTTGTTGATAAATATAATTGTTAGATGATAAATGAAAAAATAATTAATTTTATTACTTAATAAACTAAAACCAGTCTATATATTGATATTTTTCTTAAAAAAAATACATTAATATTTTTAAATATTATAACTAATTATTTACAAACAAAAAAATATATTTTTGTATTACGTTAACAATTTAGCAGAGGCCTACAACCACACCCCAAAAAGCACCTGTAATCTCTAAATCCACCCTGAACAAAAAGCATCAGCTACATATATACAAAAATTGAGGTCTAAATGGAGGAAAATGCTAAAAAGTTAGAAAGATCTTTTGAGAAGGTTGGGAGTAGGAAATTTATGGACATATTAAGTTCGAGATCATAGAATATTAGTTTGAGATTGTTTTTGTATTTTATGATTTTTTAATAATATATTTTTAATAGTATTACTTCATCCCCTTAACTTTAATTGCTTTTTTTAAAATAAATTTAATAATATTTGAAAAATCCCCATCATTTAGAATGACTTTATTTTTAACTTTAGTTGCTTTTCTTTTTTAATAAAATTGAGATGTAATGTAATAATTAATTGATAAATTTTACATGATAATTAATTATTAATATAGTAATTAGTTAATAAAAATTTTATATTTATTTATAATTAATGTAATGTGTTGTGATGATAACTCAAAACTGTGTAAAGCCCGAAGGGCTCAAGGCCCAGACCCAAATCAAATAACCGCATGCGCCTTCAGGAATGTACGCTGCAAAAAACTAATAAGAGAGTGACATGTGTAAAGTGGTAAAAAATGAGCTATAAATACCCCAAAGTTACTATCACTTCACATAAGGTAATTAATCATTCTTTCCCGTTCGTCACTATTGCGCCTATTGGCTTGCTGCGGGTTTTGTGAGAATATCATCTGAGTTGAATGTTTGGGGTTTTAGATTTCTCCTTTTTTTATTTTCTCTTTTAGTATTGTAGGAATGATTATGATATTAATAAAAAAAATCATTCTTTTCCTTATTTTCTACTTTTTTTTTTTCTTTTTCTATGGTAACTTATTTTCTAATTGAGAGCCTCATTTTCCCTAAAATTCAAATATAGTTTTTCTAACTT